CTCCCTTTTATTTCCCTCCCTTCTTCCAAGGACTAACCACTATCCTGGATTTTCTATTTGTATTTTCTTTGCTTTTCTTCTTTTTACTACATGTGATTGTATACATCCTTAAATCATGCATAGTTTTGCATGATTTTGCCCTCTGGGTAATGAGAATCAACATGGGTGAATCTCACATCACGTTGAGTCAAGATGGTAAATTGCCGGAGCCACATAGTATGAAACCACTGCATTGAAAGGCTTTGTACAGGGTAGTGACATTAATTTGTATTTCATAAAGATTGTTTTTATGCAGAATGGATAATGGATTGGAGGTGAACAGAAATGGATGAGGAGAACAGTTAGGTGTTATAGTCTTAGTGGTAGCTATGGTTGCTGGTTGTAACCTCTTGAGGGAAATCATATGCAAACTCTTAACCATGACCCTTTAGGATCTTATCCCTCCTAACTCTTTGACCTTGCTGTTCCTCAAACATGCAGGTTTGTTTTCTGCTTTAGGATCTTTCCCTGTTCTCTCTACCTGAGCCTTTCCTCTCAGATCTGCAGAGTTCAATCTTCTACTGGACTCAAGCCTTTGCCCAGAGAGGTTTTCCCTGACCATTCTATTGAGAAGTGACCCCCTGCCCTTGTCATTATTTTCTAGTCTCCTTATTCTGCTTTATTTTTCTTTGTAGTTATTTTTTTTTAATTGCAACCTGAAATTATACATTTTATTTGCAGCTCGTCTTCCCCTGCTAAAATATAACATCTGTGAGGGCTGGTCTTATCTAACATAAATCCCCCATTCCCCACCCCCTGCAGGTGCCTTGACATAGTAGGTGCTTAATAATTATTTATTGAATAGATGAATGAATTGACTTGAAGTTGGGGTAATGGAATCCACTTGTCCCTTTTCATCTGTCTCACCAGATCTCTCTGTGAACTGTTTTCAGAGCTTAAGGTTAATGCCCAAACCCTGTTAGTCTTAGACATTTGCACTTGGCCATCCTGCTGTCACTTCACACTCAGTATGTGTGAAATTACACATTATCTTCTTTTCTCCAGTCTTGCACTTTTGTTAATGCCACCATCACTGATAGTCCCAGGCACAAAACCTTGGTGTTTTCTTGCAGTGTTCACTAGCCGTAATTCCTAGGGCAAGTCCTGGTTTATGTCTTTGGAGGAGTTTCTGGTCACTGTCTTTCCCCTTCTTTCTGCCTATTGACATTTTCACCAGCCCCCAGGGCCCTGCTTGAATTCTTCTCTTCTGGTCATCTAGCCAGTCTTCCATCCCAGCACCTCTTTTCTATTTAAGTCTACAGTCATTGTTTTTTAAACACTACAGTATCTCCTGGCCTGTTAGTTCCTTTCCCATACCCTAATATTTGAAACACAATAAAACAAGGTATTTATTCATTGAGTCACCTTTATTTCTTTTTTTGTTTAAAAATTTTTTTTCTTGATTTTTGATACAAAAATTTTCATGAATCTGCTTTTTCCACATTTGCCTTTTAATTTACAAGAAAATAGTCTGTGGTTTACTTACTCATTTCTAGTTGTTAATAATACATTATGCAGCTATCTTTATACAAATAATGTTTTTTCCACCTTTAGAATAAGTAAATAAAATGAATTGCTGGTACAACCAAAAGTTAAGAAAAAATCATGTTAAAGGGAGAACTCATTGAATTTTAAGAACATACTATATAAAATAATATGTGCCAGGCAGTGTTCTAAAGTGTCGCCTTTATTTCCTTATTACCCCACTTTTAACCTCATCACCACATGTGTCCTATCCTTAGCTTTGTCCTAGAGACCAAATGCTTGCCACTTTGTTGTGTGACAGGTAACACAGCTGGCAGCAACACTGCCATCACCACAGTCTTGTTATCTCCATCTTTTGTTCTCATCAGGGCTGTGTTCTCTTTCAGCTGTTGGAGGCTCCTGCAGTTTTAAAAGGTGAGAGGTCCTAAGGTTTCGACTCCTGCATCACACTGGAAGTGTGTGGAGGCAGTGGAGTCCGGGCTGATGTTGTTGGCCTTTTAGTTAGTAGTTCTTTACACCTACTTAGCAGCAATGCAGGTTGTGAAGATAAATTCAGCTGGTTAAATTATTGTAACCAACATTTATTGAGTGCCTGTTTTAGTGTGATGAGCATAGATGTACAAAAGGGGTCTCCCAAATCTAGCAGGTATGGCAGTTATTTAACAGTACTTTTAGTAAAATATGGCAAATGCTGAATTAGAAGTAGGTGTAAGCTGCTGTTGGAGTTCACTGAAGGCAGCATTTGATTCATTGAGGGGCTTGTCAGGGGAGGTTTATTTCATAAACGACATAATGGGGCTATGTCTTGATGGATAAGTGGGAATTCACAAGTGGACAGTGGTTTTAGGTTCCTGGGTATGGGTAATTCATGAAAACAAAAATGGAATCAGTCTGGGCCCAAATGTAGCTTCAATGGAGGGTGATATCAGCAAAGACAGGGCTTTGTTTCCTTGATATCACAGCCTAAGAAGTTCTCATTCAACAGTGATCTCAAGCAGCATGCCGTACAGATAGCCTAGCATAGCATTTGAGAGTGGACACTGCAGTTAGGCTGCCTAGGTTCAGATTTCAGCTCTTCGACTTACTAGCTTTGGAAACTTGGACAAGTTACTTAACCTCTCTGGGCCTTGGTATAGTATCTACTTCATAGAAGTGAAGATTAAATGAGATAACATACATAAAGTGCTTACGATAACATCTGGAAGAAAGAGCTCTCACTATTGGTTTTCTGTTCTTATTTTTGACAGTTCACATCAGCCTAGAGAAGGGGTTGGCAAACTACAACTCATGAGCCAGGGTCAAACCTAGCCTCCTGTTTGATTTGTAGATAAAGTTTTATTGGAATACAGCCATGCCCATCCTTAAGTAATGACTATGGCTACTCTTGTGGCCTATAAGAGTGGAGTTTAGTAGTGGTAACAGTGACTGACTGGACTGTAAAGTCCAAAATATTTATGATATGGCTTTTTGTAAAATGAATTTACCTTTGTAGAAGAAATTTACGATTTCTTATATCACCCTTTGTAGAAGAAATTTAGAGGATAAAAATCAAACACTGTATCTCTCAAGATCTTCAGTGATTGCTTCCAACCTATCTTTTTCCATCCGTAACTAACAGTTGGCTAGTGCAGGCCTTTGGTTTTTGCTGCTCCTTTTTACTTCATGAGCTGCTCTCTCTGTTGCTGGATTGTGGTTCCTTTAGTGTTCCAACTGCTCTTCTCCTTTTTGCATGAATATGGGCAGCAGCAAGGCCAAGACTAGGCTGGGGTATGTGGGTCACTTACCTTGGATACACAATTTAAGGGGGCCCCAAAAAACTCAGTAATCAAGATAAATAATCTGTTAATTTATTTTTATTATTTATTTTTTTCACTGATTCATTTATTCCTTTATTCAGCAGTCATTTATTGGGTTTCTACATATACAAAGCACTGAATTATGCTGTTAATGTAATATTTTTAAAAATAAAAATGCCAAAAAAATCCATTATGAACAAAATATCAATATTTTATTTTTTTTGGAAGCTTAATATAATTTTATTTTTAAAAATTTATTTCTAGCTTTATTGACATATGATTGACAAATAAAAAATTGTATATGTTTAAGGTGTACATTGTAGTGTTTTTATATAAGTATGCCTTGAGTAATGATTCCCACAGTCAAGCTAATTAACATATCTAATACCTGACATAGTTACCATTTTGTGTATATGGTGAAAACATTTAAAATCTGCTCTCAGCAAATTTTAGGCATACAATACATTATTATTAACTATATATAGTTACCATGCTGTACATTGGATCATTAGAACTTATTTATCTCATAACTGAAAGTTTGTACCCTTAGATAACATCTCCCCATTTTCTGCCCGCCACCCCTAGCCCGTGGCAACCACCATTCTCCTCCATATTTCTCTAAGTTCAACTTTATTAGAGTCCACAGATAAGTGACAAAACATCAAAAAAAAATTTTTTTTTTTTTTGTCCTTTTTGAGACCAGGCGCACCGTGCTCAGCTAGTGAGTGCTGTGAGCGCACCAGTCATCCCTGTATAGGATCAGAAGCTGCGTCGGGAGCGCTGCTCTCTCCCGAGTGCGCCACGGGATCAGCCCCAAAACATCAAAATTTTAAATAAAGACAGGATGGGTATTACTGATTATTTTTCCCCCTCAGGCTCCAACATGGCTCTGGGCAGCAGAGAGCAAGTAACCCATACTTAAGCCACAAGATACCCCAGAAACTCATCCTTCCTACATATATGTGGGAGTTAGAGTTTTCAGATTCAAAATAACCTACTGGCTGATTACATTTAATGACGTATACTCAGGCCTATGTCAGGACTACTTTCGTAAAGTATAGTTATGCACATATTTTGTTAAACTTAGCTTACAGTAGTGATCTGTGTATAAAATGACACAGAATGAAAAATATTTTGGTAAGTTTTCAAATGGTTCATTTGAAATAGTTCACTGAGAGCAGTGAAGCATAAATTAGAGTAGCAGCATTGGATAACCAAATCTGTTTACCAAGAGATCTGAAAGGATCCCCTGGTTCCTATAAACTTTTTCTAAGAAAGGCCAGATAGGGATATTAATTGAATTTTAATGCTTTCTCATAAACATTGACCCAGTGAACTTTTTTAGATGACTAACTTTCTAATCTGCTTTGACATTTCTTCAGAGTGCTGCAAACAGGTAGGTTTAAAAATATGTATAATTTGTTTTAGGAAGGTTTGGAAATATTCTGTAGAATTCTATTAAAGCAGAATGGAATCTTATCTGTAAGGAATGCGTTTGGAAGAATGGACAAGATCACCTTTACATTTCTTAGACACCATGTAGAGATAGGTAGGACTTTATTTGATATTTCAGTGAAGTAAATTAGTTGCTCCAACTGGTTATCACTGTTATAAAGAGATAAAACATAATATTGAATTTGATACTCTTTTGTTTTCTAAACACTTTAAAATGTTTTTTAGGTGTATAGTGTTGATTGGAGTCAAACCAGAGGTGAACAGCTTGTGGTGTCTGGCTCCTGGGACCAAACTGTCAGATTGGTATGTCAGCATTACTGTATGTAAAAACCAGTACTTCCGTCTCCAGAGCTTCCACTGAATTTTTTCTTTTCGAAAACATACTTCTGTAGCTTTACAATTGGATGGTTAATTTTCTTTTCAAAAAATACATTAAAACATTTATTAGAATTTAAAATTTTCTAAACTTTTGGATGTAAACTAATAATTAACTCAGCATTGATTGTTTTTGCCCTTTAACTACCATCTTGCTTTATCTAAAAATAGATCTTAAAAAATCCTTGAGATATGTATGTATATATATCCAAATATATATAGTATATTGGTATATATAGCGTATATAACAGCATAAAGTTGAATTTACCTCTAAGTAATTGATCTATTCTTTCATTTGTAGTGGGATCCAACTGTTGGAAAGTCTCTGTGCACATTTAGAGGCCATGAAAGTGTCATTTATAGCACAATCTGGTCTCCCCACATCCCTGGTTGTTTTGCTTCAGCCTCAGGTAAATAATTCTGTGTTTATCAAAAGCCTCACTTATAGTGAACGGTGGCCTTATTTTCCCCATTAGGTGGCACTGTGTACCTTAGATTCAGAGAGAAAACAGGAGTATATTACTATTCTTTTGTGCTCTTAAGACTGTTTCATTCTTTATCAAGCTCTTGACAATAGTTAGCTGAGGCCTACATTACTTTTCAGTGATTTTTAACTACTAAAGAATAACTCTTAGTTTCCTGGCAAGGACAGATTTGTGAATGGTAATGTCATAACTGAGAATAATAAATATGTTTGGAAGAAGATCTTGAGTTTTCTTTCAGAGAATTATTGAACCTGTGAAACGCATGTGGCCTTGTCAATGAGCAGGTTGAGTTTGGAGCTGAGACGTCTGGCCTTATGAAAAAAAAATTTTGTCATTGGCTCATAATTGGTAACTAAAGCCATTGCAGTAAATCAGAGCACCCAGGAAAAACAATACTCTAGAAGAAACCTATAAATAGAGCACAGGTTGGCAAACTACCACCCTGAGATCAAAAAGAACTGAAAGTTCTTGTCAGTAAAGTTTCATTGGAACACAGCCATGCCCATTAATTTACATATCATCTGTAGCTGCTTTCACACTGTAGTGGAAGAGTTGAGTAGTGGTGACAGAGACCAAATGGCCCTCAAAGAGGGGAGCAGAGAAGACAATAGCTAGAGGAGGAGGTAGTGTGCTTCTTAGTATTTTCTCCTCATTTAATTATCCAGCATCCACATATAGGCAATAGGTAGGATAGTTGTTACTTTCTTACTAATAAACTATATCAATGCCCCGAGTTGTTGAATTATGTTGAGTGGCTTCTACAGGAAATATGTCACAGAACTCCTTTCCAGTAGTTTATTTTCTAATCCTAAAAATTAAAAATGAGCCAGACACCCTGAATTCTGGAAGTGTTCTTAGGTTAAAGACACTTAGAAATGGAAACCTTCAGGGCCGGCCCGGTGGCGCATTGGATAGTGCGCCGCTTGGGAAGCGTGGTGGCGCTCCCGCCCAAGGGTTCGGATCCCACATACAGACCAGTTCCCGCTCACTGGCTGAGCGAGGCACGGGAGCAACACCGAGGGTTGCGATCCCGTCGCCGAACACGGAAAAAGACAAAAAGACAAAAAAAAAAAAAAGAAATGGAAACCTTCAGGTAAATTGTATACAGACAAATATGTCCATTTAGGATTATGCAATTTTTTAAGGTCCTTATAGTGAATAATATTAAGGTCTATGTATGGAGGTATAGTTAATTTAAGAAACATTTTATTCTCTGATAAAAATTAAAGCATTGTTTTCTAGTATGAATAGTGGTACACCCTGTCAACTTATAACATTATTACTATTTTTAAAAAAATTTATAAGTTGTCTAAGTTATAGCTTTTTAACCTATAAACTGAATTAAATCTTTTCTAAAATATCAAGTCTTTTGGAATGAGACCAGTAATATATTTTTCCTTGTCACATTTCCTTTTCCAAGCCTGATTTCTTTTTTCATCTTTTATCTTTCTATGACACAGCTACCCATAAGGCTGAATGTGTATTAAGTAAATGGTAGCAATATTAATATACTTAGTTTAATTAATCCTTTAACCTGTTCATATAACTTGAGTTAATCATCTCTTACGCTTTTAATTTAGTGTAAATGCTAATGAGTTTCATGCTTATAATGAGTCAATTCTATAAGATGACCACAGTCCAGATTAATGGTTATAATTTTACCATTTTATGATTTTGTCATTGGTGAAAAGCCCTAACACAGAGAGTATTAGTCCAAGGGAAATTAAAAATTTTATAAGGATGTGAATTAGATTGACATTAGCATCACTTTCTTAGGGGAGGGATGCCCTTTGGCCTTATGTCCTACAGAGCTAGATCTAGATTCACTTTCCATTGTGGGGTTCTCTAAGGACATTGCATTTTGCATAGCTTATGATAGTTGTACTAATACAGAATTCATATTTCTAAATTATATGAGCTCTTTACATAAAGAAGATTAATGTGAAGTAAACCTTCTTTTAAATTATGAAAACTAAATTATTCCTATTTCAGATTTCGTATAATTATATAAGTCATAGCCCTGCCTGAATGTGTAGGGTCCAGTAGTTAAAATAAACCTCATTCTACTATAAGGAAAAGTCGTGTTACATCTGATAGAAATCTGGCATTTAAATTGAATTAAATTATTTGGGCCCCAAAGCACCCTTTTGCTACTCAGTTCACTACACAGCTTTCTACTAATTCTCCTTCCCCCACTTCGTCTTAACTGCTGCAGTTTGAATTAGACATAATAACAGCCAGCACTTCCTATTCTGTATTATGCACGTAAAATCGCTGGTTCTGCCAGTGGCAGGTCTGCAACTGATAAGAGAAGCTGGTACTTCAGGTGGGTCTATGGCACCATCACAGGGCCCTGATAATCATCTGGCTGACAATGAAAGGCCAGTTGTCTGGAAAATGTGATTAAAAAGAACAACATAAATACAGATGTCCTGGTGGCTAAAAGAGTTGAGTGAGTCATTGTAAAGAAAAGAAAGTGATGAAGACGAAGTGCCAAATATGTACAGCAGGATTGACCGTCAAGCAAGTGGAATTCTTAACTCCTGCATAGCAATCTTCACATTTTTGTGCCCCTTAAATTAACTGCAAGAAGGGGCTACCCAAGCCAAGGCTTTTTTTTTTTTCATGTTGTTTGAATGTGATGGTGTGGAACCAAACTATTATGGCAGAGAAATATAGAATAACCATCTGCCCAACCTTTGTTGTTGTGTTGTTTAATCTTTTATTGAAGTATAATACACATACACAATAGTGCATAATCTTAAGTGTACAATTTGATGAATTTTTACAGTGAACACACCTGTGTAACCAGTGCCCAAATTGAGAAACAGTGCGTTACCTGAGGGTCCCTCCCAATCCTTCTAGTCCCCCACCTTGAGGGTGACCACTGTCCACCTTCTAATAGATAAATGTTGCCTATTTTTTATACTTTTGTGTCCAGCTTCTGTTGCTAAACAACATATCTTGTGAGACTCATCCATATTATTGCTAGAATAACAGTTCTTAATATCCTAGTCCGCATTCATTGGAATGTTTTGGTAAATCAATTCACATTCTCATATAAAATTATTAGTGTGAACACAAGCTCGTTGAACTTTAGACAGTGCTTTAGTCATGACAGACTTCATAGTTTCAGACCTAGTATTAAATAAAAGGTTTTCAAAGCTAGTAAACACAATTTCATATGTTTTAGTGGAAGCCTTGTGCTGATTTTCTCTGGGGCTAGGCTTTGTTATAGACTGAAACTTCAGGTGAATACCATTCACTCCTGTCATGATGATAAGTGATGTCCTTTGCTTGCAAGTGATAGAACTGGAACTATGTTGGATCTTTGTGAAATTTATTGAAAAGTATACCCCAGAAAAGGAAAGGGTGCCTCAGCGGCCTCAGGACACATTCTCTGTCTCTCCTCTGGACTTTTTCCTGCTTGTTGACTTGATTCTGCATGAGACACATGGCCACCAGCAGCTTCTGAATTTTATAAATTGTAAATTCTGCTATAAGAGAGGAGCTAACATTATTTTTTCAGTTGTAGTTGGGGAAAAAATTCCAAATGCTCACCTTGGACCTGTCAGCTGTGGTTAGAGCAGGAAATGAGGTACTATGGCTCACCTTGCTTGGACCTGCCCCTGGTTAGTCTGAGCCTAGTTGAGCCAAAGGCCTTTTTAGAATCACTTGGTGAGAAAGAGATGTACTGTTCCTAGAAGAAAGGTGTTGCTGGGCAGATCAAGCACATCACCCTGCTTTATACATTGAAGTCTGGGGAAATCATAAAAGATTGCTTCATCAAAGCTACTTGGAATTCTGAAATAAATTTTATTGATTGGTGGCTAGACCACAGACAGTGAATGTAATTAGGGACCCTGAAGATATCTGAAGCTCTAACCTGTACCAATTCTGAACAATTTCAATTTGGTGCATTCAAACTCATCATTCCCTGTAATCCTTAGATCCAAAAATGTTATTTACTCTCTATCAAAGTAGTTTTCATCCTTTTATAAAGTAGCATGGTGGTGTTTTTAAATTCAAAAAGAGAAAAAAAAAATCACACACATAAAGCAGTAGTACATGTTTATGGGCTTTGAGTAATCCTTTGCATCTCCGTCACCCAGGGGAAGAGGGGTGACAAATCCATGGGGGGCGAAGCAACACAAAGCAACAGTAAAAATGTAGTAAAAGCATTACAAAAACATGGATTAAAGGAATGCATACCAAATTCATGATTGTGGTTGTCTCTGGGCAGAGAAGATGGGAAATGGGATTGGAAATACAATAGAGATTCCAACTTTAGTACTTTATTTCAAAAATCACTGGGGCAAATGTGACAAAATGTTGGCTTTTGTGTGTGAGAGGGAATGTTTTTCTCCAGTTTACAGAAAAAGTAACATAGAAGTTAAAAGAATAATTCCTCAAGAATCAGCCAACATTGATTGTATGGCATTTGTCCTCCAGACACATGAGGAGGCAGCATCGTGGAGTTGTAAAGCACATGTGCTGGGGAGCCAGGCTGCCTGGGCTCCGGTTCCAGGTCCTGGTTGCATTGCTCACTATCCTGGCTGAGTTATTTCATCTCCATGTGCTCAGTTTCCTCATTCGTAAAGTACTATAAAATTCCTGCTTCCTATAGTTATTATGATGTTTTACAAAAAGTTAATACATATAAAATGCTTACAACAGTATCTGGCATATAGGAATCACTTAGTAAATATTAGGCATTATTCATGTTATTAGTGGGGACAGGAGTGAGTTCTAAATATAGGTATGTTTCTCATTTACTTCTTTTAAACAATTATTGAGGGCTTAGTGTGTATCTGGCACCAGATTAAGCCCCACTACTGTATCTCATTTCAACCATAGAAGGCTGGTATTTTTATCATAGGTAAGGAAGCTGAGAATCAGGAAGTTAAGCAACTTGATTAAACATCAACAGCTACCAAATGATTGAGCTGGATTAGAACCAAATTCTGGAACTTCAAAGCTCCAGTTCTAAACCTCTACATTTTGTTACTGCCAACAAATTTAGTTCTTAAATCTTTCTTAAGCAACTTCCGAAGAAGCTAGGAAAAAATTTGTCTAAAATAACTAAATTTAACTAGACTACATATGATTTAGAATTGGGAATATAGGAAAATATATGTAGGGAAGTAAAGGATAATTTTAAAATTTAGCATTTTTAGATACCATATATTACAGTGACTACTCTGTGCTGGAGACCATGCCAGGTGCTTTACAGAAACTTTATTATATTACATTCTTGTACAGCCCTATGTGGTAGGCATTCTGTTTCTTTTTTAAAAATGAAGAATCACTGTCAGAGATACACATACCCTGTGCGGAGTCACACAATTACAAAATAGAATTCAAGATTCCGCGGTCTGTCATGCCAGAGACCACATGCTTTTTCATCACATTGAACTAGCTTTCTCCCCCCATTAGTTGTTGTTTGTAGTTTATTTTTGAGGTAGACTTATATATTCTGGATTTTATTCATCCTGTCATTTTTGTTGAAGGCAACAGCATATAAAACATTTGATTGGGGTGACTTTTGTGCACTTAAGCAATACAGATCATTTCTGTAACAATGCACAGTAATCCTTACATTTTTTTAGCTTGTTTTTTCCAAGGAGAAAATTTACTTTTAGCTGTCCCATTAAAATATAGTATATATAACCAAAAGTAAAATCTTCTCTATTTTGGCTTGGTAGACTTTGCCCACATTTAAGAATAAAACTGTTACCATATTGCTTGTTTCTTGTAGAGTATGCTGGAACAGAGTGCTGTCTTTTTCCTTAGACATGAGGATTTTCAGGGCCTTTCCCTGCCCTGAAGAAAAATGCACTGGGGATGTATTTAGTCACTGTTGTGCTTGTCTCAGTGTGAGATTAAAATTTTCAATTTTAAATAGATCTAAAAGCATTATAATGCTGCATTACTTTTTGTAGTCCTTCACTTTGCGTAGTTCTTACACACTATTATGGTTTAAAAATTATGAGAGGTCTTCAAAAAGTTCATGGAAAGATTCGTATTATTTTAATTCTATTTCTTTTTTTTGGCAGCCGACCCGATGACTGTAGTACAGGGATCTGAACCCTTGACTTGACCTTGGTGTTATCACACCACACTCCAACCAAGTGAGATAACTGGCCAGCCCTTAATTCTGTTTTTCCATGAACTTTTTTTTTTTTTTTTGTCCTTTCTGTGACCGACCGCACTGCGCTCAGCCAGTGAGCACATCACACCGGCCATCCCTATATAGGATCGGAACCTGCAGCAGGAGCGCTGCTGCGCTCCCAGCGCCGCACTCTCCCGAGTGCGCCATGGGCTCGGCCCTCCATGAACTTTTTGAAGTACCCTTGTATATAAAGATGACAGTATCCTAACAGTGAAAGTAGTGTGTTTTTACTTGATTTATCATTATAAGCACATTATGTCACTGAGCATCCAAGTGGTGTGGTGGAAAGTGATCGTCTTCTTTTTTTTTACCAGGTGATCAGACTCTGAGAATCTGGGATGCAAAGGCAGTAGGAGTCAGAATTGTGATTCCAGCACATCAGGCAGAAATTTTGAGCTGTGACTGGTGTAAATACAATGAGGTATAGTGGATGGCTGTGTCCTGAGCTGCTGCCATTTGTTATGTTAAAATGTTCAAGATTTTGTTTATCTTTGGTTATGTTGACTTCAGTTGTGTTCCTGGACCATTAAGTTAAATCAAGTTCCTTTCATTTCTAATTAATGATCATGACTGATCTGCATTATCATTAATTGGGCTTAAGTGCTCATAAAACAAGCAAAATGAGAAACAGAAATTCTCAAAGTTTAACAGTACATCCATACTTGTTTGTTTTAGAAACTGCTTTATGATTTATGTAATTTTTTTCTTTACTGCTCTTAACCCCACCACTTTGTATTGTCTTTTGCTTTCATTTCTTTCTCACTTTGCTAGTCAGGCTGCTGAACTATTTGTAACTTAATTTTCAATTTGATAGTCGATCAGTTTTTAAAATTTTCTGTTTCATCTTCCTTTTTAAGCCTAACTAGTATCATGCTTCTGTAAGATAGCAGAGTCCATGTGTAACTTTTTGCAAAGCTTCAGTTAACCATATGAGCATAGGAATTAGAATTAGAAATGGATTAAATATATGGTAATGTACTATTTATATACCCGAAGTGGTCTGTTGACAGTGACAAACATAAAATATATGTTGTTTTTTTCCCATCAGTTTAAAATTAATTAATGAAAGTTAAGAGAACATGGTATTGGCAGAGTTCTTTAATAAAAAGAAATAAAATAAATTAGAAAATATAGTATGTATTTAATAATAATACTTGATCTAAATAAAAATTTCAGTGCTGATGACTACAGTTTCAACCTCTCTCATCATAGGTGAATTATCCATACAGAAAAATTAAATTATGGCCTGTATGTTATACTTTTGGGAATTCTAAAAAAGCTGTTGATAGACACTTGAAAGTGGCTTTAAAAAAATTGTTTTCTAATCATTGAAACTTTTCTTCAAATGAGCTTGTACTAAAGCCCGACATATTTAGACAATGCTCTGGCTGATGTGTGGGGTGGGCTGATGTGGACCCAGCATTTGTCTGTCCAGCCAGGAACTCAGGGCATACCCAGGGCTCTTAGATAGCAGATTTTGTAAAACCTGACTAGATAAGATACTCACCACTATTTGCATAGATTCTCAGATATGATTAGATTTTGTACTTGGAGTAAGACTTGTACTAAGTCCCCAGGGGGTTGGGTACATTCAGATCTAGAAAAACATATATGAATTTAATTTATACCCTTTGCTCTTTCAAAAATTCCTAAATTAACAGATCTCTGCTTTTGTAATGCCTGGTAAAACCTCAGAGCATGTTCAAAACCTTTTGAAGAGAAAGGTGGGCTCTTTTTTGGGTATAATTTTTATGCATTTCCCTTAGGTACTTATTACTATCACTAAAGGTGAATTAGAAAATCCACAATGCTGTTTTTTCTGTTGCCCTTTTGTGTTGTGTGTAGTGTTCAATCATATACATAAAACATATTGAGTTCCTTTTCTCTCAAGTTATATTAATTTTTGCTATTTAATATCTATTTTAATTTCTTTATATACTTGTTATACAGCTTTTCCAGAATGACTCCTGGGTTCATATTAAACAGTTACCAGAAGATAGATACTAGGGTATTTCAAAAAGTTCATAGAAAAATGAACTTAAAATGTAATATGAATCTTTCCATGAACTTTTTGATGACTCCCTTCTATTTTTTCTAGCAGGAAAGCCTGCATACCGCTTAATCACAGGATGTTACAGCTTACTTTTATCTGAATTGTTTTCAGAATTTGCTGGTTACAGGGGCAGTTGACTGTAGTTTGAGAGGCTGGGACTTAAGGAATGTGCGACAACCAGTCTTTGAACTTCTTGGTCACACCTATGCTATTAGGAGGGTGAAAGTAAGTTGTTATCTTTTCTTTTTAAACATAGAATAAAAATTTAAATATAAATATAATCAATGAGGTGTATATAGAAGAGTGTTTTGGTGTTTAAGGGGTTGGGGTTATTGATTCTTTTTCATTTGTGTTTTTGTTACCCAATTAATGATAATAAATATTGAAAGCTAAAATTAGGTAAAATATTTGAATAATTATTGAATGAATTGGGACAATGTAGACAATCAGTATTTAAGTTTAAATAAAAATGTTTTTCTCATTCTGTCATCCACAATCTATTATTCCTTTTAATATTTTTTTTAACTATAGTAATTTACTTTTAGTATTATATTCGTCATAATTTTTCATTCAGTGGGAAAGTCTTTTTGTTAAAACTGGTATAGAGAGATGGGTAATTTTTTCTTTTCCCTAACATGATAATGTATATGAATGTTCACAAATGTTAGAGGTATAGAAAATTTTCCACTCTCTAAACAGCAGAGGGTGTGGTAATTTTTGGTGCTGCTCCCTGGATACAAGGTGACTTAACTTAGCTTCACAGCTTTTGTTTAGGCAGGTTCCACTAAGTTACCATGGAAAGCATCTTATTTAGTCACATTTCCCAATTTCATTCTTTATTTTTTACTTTCAGGGTAAAAAAGTACCTTTATTGATCTTTTGAATAAGATAATTATATGTTATTTGTATTTTCGAAATTTTAAATTTCAGTTAAATGAATATTTTAAACTTTATAGGTTGCAATGCAACATATGAGATACAGTGTCCTGTTTTATTTTTTAATGGTGATCTTATGTGGACAGGTTTTAGCAGGTGAAAAATATTCTTTATGTATATTTCAGAGGGCTTCTGAGAATGAAATAGGGTAATATAGTGAAAGTACTTTGCAAATTGTTCAGTGCTATTTAAATGTAATTATATGAGGGGTCTTCAAAAAGTTCATGGAAACATTCTTTGAATTCTATTTTTCCGTTAATGTTTTGAAGTACCTTTATATACGTATATATAACTATTAAAGTGCTAGTAAGACAAACACTGAAGAAATATAATTGCATATGGCAGCCTATTAAAGTATTTTATTACTCATCTAGAAGATATTACCTGCTTTAAATTTGCAGTTTTTATCCTTGATGTCATTTTTATTAGCTGTAGTATACAAATAACATAAAATTATTTTAAAGGTGTTTTTATCTAACATTTAAATGTTTATTTTGATACTTGTGATTATAGCAATCATAATATGTATTTGTAAAACTGGTAAATTATATAATTATATAGTTGTGCCACCACATACTTAGATTTGTAAGAATCATTTTTGGATAGCCAATATAAAATTGCATTTAATTTTTCCAGAGTAGCAACATGTTGACATATTTTATTCTGAATAAGCTCTAAAAAGCTAGAGGGATGTCTTTCTTTAGAAAATGTAAAACTAAATGTTTTTTCTGTAGATGGATATTTAAAGCCAGAAGATTTTTGCCTCAAATTAAAGCATGTAAGGTTCAGGAAAGCAATTTTAAGTAACAGTCCTGACTAAACTTTAATTGACTGTAACGTTCATGGAATGATCATAGGAAGCAGCATGTTATATTACAGCTAACCTCAAAAAGTTTTTTTTGTGTGTTTTTGTTTTTTGTTTTTTTTTTGTAGTTTTCACCATTTCATGCATCTGTGCTGGCCTCTTGCTCCTATGATTTTACAGTAAGGTACAGTGGCTTTTAATACATTTCGTTGTAAAATATCAAGTAGCATTTGCATCTTTGCAACTTTTATGAAAGATAATGTGTTTATCTTACTAATATGAAAATAGTCTGAGCTGGGCACATTTTAATATTTACCGCTAGGATTAATATCATATTTTTCCTGTTTTTATGATCTAGCCACATATATGAGTAAATTCTTTCTGTTCAAAGATTAGCCTGGCTACTCTGTTTAAAAGCCTTTTTTTTCCTGACAGTTATTCCTGTAGTAACACTTTTCTACTCCACAGATTGCGTAGCCAGTATTTCTTAAATTTAGATTTCGAAATTTGGAAGTTTCATTTCTTCAGACCTAATTATATGACTCTTAAGGCTAAGATTCTTATAGATGGAAAAACAACCAGCATGAGTGTATATATATATTTGTTAATGTAGACATGTGAATGTGTATGTGTGTGTGTGTGTGCATGTGTATCTAGGTATAATCATGTGTGTGTGTGCGCATGTGTGTGTCTCCATCCATAACACTACACAGGATTCAGTCTCCCTTTCCAAATGTATAACTCCTGACTTCCATTATCCACTATGTATTTACTTATTTGCTAAACCCTAGAATGCTTAGAAAGTAGCTTCAGAATTGTAAAGCCATGTTTTTGCGAAAAATAATCTTGCTAATTAGAGCTCAATACTTGTTGAGGGCTTTTTCTTGGCCTTTGGTCCAAATACTTTATTCAAAAGTTATTTAGATTAATTCTCTTTCCTGTCAGAATGTGATTATGTTCGTTATTTGAAACATGGTTTGATTTATTTGCTTCTGTTTGTATTCAGTTTTAAGGCTTTCCTCCTATCCTTGTTGATTTTGTCTATTTTTATGAGCAGGCAAAATATTAACAAGGTTCCAAAAGTCAAGGTGTATATAAAGTGGCATTTCCTGTCTTCTATTTCCTCCGTCTTTCCATTGCATGCTGTTATACACCCTGTAGGTAACCAGTCTTGCTCAGATAAATAGAAACATGTATATTTTCATATTTCTCCCTTTCTTACACAAAAACTGGGGTACCCTGGATATGCTTTAAAATTTGACTTTTTTCACTTGAAACATATCCTGGAAATCACTCCATATCACTTTATAGCGATCTTTTTTCTTTCTGCATAATACTCCATTATGTTGATGTATTATAGTTTATTCAGCTACTCTCCTGTGTATGGGCATTTAGTTTTTTCCAATATTTTATAAATATACACTGCCACAATGAATAATAACATTGTATGCATGTATGTTCACATTGCTAGAGAATTAACTTCAAATATATTCTTAGAAGTGGATTAATAGGTTAAAAGATATTTAATTTTGTTACATATTATCAGATTCCCATCCATAAGGAATATACCAATTTCCATTCTCAGCAGCAATGTTTGAGATTCCTTGTTTCTCTACCATCTCTAAAGATTATTGATTCTTTAAGGTTTTCCAGATACATAATCATATAATCTGCAAATAAAGGTAGTTCTACATCTTCATTTCCAATTCTGATGCCTCCAATTGATCTTTCTTATAAAATTGAATTGGCAAATACCTCAACTACAATGTTAAATAGTTTATAGACAATGTCTGATTCCTGATAGTAGTGAAAACGCCTCTGGTTTCTCTCTGTTGAAAGTAAGATGCTGACTTTAAGACAAATATATACGTTTATTTGTTTATCATGCTAAGAAAGTATGCATCAACTCCTATTGAGTTTTGTGTGTGTGTGTGTGTGTGTGTGTGTGTGTGTGTGTGTGTTTTAAGCAGGAATGGATCTTAAGTTTTGTTGAAGGCTTTTTTTCGGCATCTGATAATCATGATTTTTTTCTTTTAAGAGCTGTTACTATGATGTATTATATTAATGGATTGAACCAAACTTGCATTCCTGGAATAAATCCCACGTGTTCTTTATGTATCATTTTCTTACTGTGGTGTCGGGTTCTATTTATTAATATTTTATTTAGAGCTTTGTATCAATATTCAAAGGTATTGTTAGTCTGTAGTTTTTATTTTTTTAGGGGGAGGTTTATGTATCAATGTTTTACTTGCTTCATAATAAAGAGTTAAGAAATTTTCCTTTATTTTCAGAGCTCTAGAACAATTTGTGCAGTATTGAGGCTATTTGGTCTTTGAAGCCTTGGTAGAATTACACTGTAAAACTATCTGAGTATGAGACTTTTTGTGGAGTGCTTTCTTGATGACTTTATTTCGTCTATGGAAATTGGTCTGTTTAAACTTACTGTCTCGAGTGGGATCTATTTTGGAAATTTTCACTTGCATATTTAATTATATAAATGCCTGCCAAGTAGTGTCTAAGGATTTTTTTTTTTTCCTTTTTGTCTTTTTTCGTGTCCGGCAACGGATCGCAACCCTCAGTGTCGCGCCCGCACCGGACTGGGACCGGCAACGGGATCGCAACCCCCGGCGCTGCACCCCCAACTCGCTCAGCCAGTGAGCGGGAACCGGTCTGTATGTGGGATCCGAACCCTCGGCGGGAGTGCCGCCACACTCCCAAGAGGCGCACTGTAGCAGTGCGCCACCGGGCCGGCCCAAGGATTTTTAATTTCTTTTGTTTCAAGGGTTATTTCACTGTTGTCATTTTTGATTTTGTATCTTTGTGAGTTCTCCCTTGATTGAGTTATCTAGTAGAATGTTTATTTTGTTATTTTACTTCAGCAAACAGAATTTTGGTTAATTAGAACTACTGTTTTCCTATTCTCTACTTTATTAATTGCTGCTTTTGTCTTTATTATTTCCTTCTTGGTACTTTCTTCTGGTTTACTTTGTTGCTCTTTTTTCAGTGTTTTGAGCTGGGAATTTATTTTTATTCTTTAATTTTGTTAATGAAGTGTTTAAGGCTATGAATTTTGTTCTGGTTATTGTTTCAACTACAGCCGATAGATTCTGATATATGTTTTTATAATAATTTTTAAAAATTCTATAAGTTCTGTTTATATTTCCCCTTTCTTCCAAGAGTTGTATAATAGGAAGTAATTTAATTTCCAGATGAAAGTGCCTTTTAACTTTCTAAAATTTTTTAGTAATTTCTAGTTTTATTGCATTGTGATCAGAATACTTAATCATTCTATTTTAGGGAACATATTAATATTTGGGGAGAGGGGGCCTAATAAATGATCATATGCTGTTGAGAAGAGGGTGTATTCTCTTATCAGGCATAAAGTTCAATATATAACTATAAGCTTACTAACTGATTATGTTGTTTAGATCTTCTGTATCCTGTCTTATTTTTGGTCCATTTAATCTGAGAATGGTATGTTACTGAGAGTGGTATGTTAAAATCTCCTATTATTAGCAGGCTTCTATCTATGTCTCACTGTAATCTCTTGTAATTTTTATTTTAAAGAGGTATATTCTGTGTTTTTTGGTGCATAGATATTTATAGTATGCATATAGTGGCTTGAGACTTTTTAGCATTAAAGAGAATCCTTCTTTGTCACAGTTAATGCTTTTTGTGTTAGTTATTTGTCTCATATCAGTATCATTGTCCCTGTTTTCATGTTGTTTCTACTTTCCAAGTATACCTTTTCCCATACTGTTATTTTTAAACTATTTTGTTGAACCATTTTTTTTAGGTATGACTCTTTTATAGAGCATATTAGTATATATTAACATAAGAACTAATCGGTCTCCCTTGGTGAATTAAATAAAACATCTTTTTATTAGAATAGGTAAGTTTAACACATTCATATTTCTGATAAAAATGTTTAGTATCAAGTCTGTCATATGTTGTTGTTATGTGTGTTACATTTGCTGTTTCTTTTTTCAAATACCAGAAAAATATTTCTGGTATTTGAAAGAAGAAGGCGTAACCAACTGAGATGGGGCATTTTGTTTTGTTTCTCCTTTTTAAAACTATTTTTTGATATTTAGGTAGTTTTTATTCGCTTATTTGTTTTAGTGGTTGTCTTTGGTCTTACAACTTTTTAGGTGTCTTTATTCCCTTATTTTGTTATTTAACCATTTATTATCTGATTTGTGAATTTTTAATGGTATTTGTTTTAACTCCCACCTATTGTATATACAACAATCAGCTTATTCTACTTTCCTTTTTTTTCTTTCCCTTCTCCAAAATTTGAGTTGTTTCATTTATATTTTGTCAGAACATGCAAAATATAAAGTATATCACATATCATATGACGTATTTCCACTCTTGTTTCTACCTTTATTTTAGTCTTAGATACATAACTAAATATGGTATTAAGTTTTCTCCATCATCTCTTGGTTTGATGAGGTTTATCTTCTAGTGGATTCCTCAAGAAGGGCTGATGGGTACAGAAGTCTTGTGAGCTATTGTGTGTTTAAAACTATTTTTCAATAGTCTTGATACTTAAAGGATAGTTTAGCTGAATATCAACTCCATGATTTACATTTCTTTCTTTGAGTTTTTTGAAAATGCTGCCTCATTTTTGCATTGCTTTCTATGTTGTTTTTGTGTAATTCTCTTGTCCTTATAAGTTGTTTGATCTTTTTTCCTGAGGACCCTGCTAGTTACATTTCAGTTTTTTCTGATGCAGGTTAAATAGTTCAGTGGTTCATTTAGTAGGTAGATTCAGGTCTTCTTTTATTTTCAGAAAGGTTTTTTTGATTATCATTTTAAATATTAGTTCTACTCCATTGTTTTATCTTCTATAGGATCTCCTTTAACTGTATTCTCTATCAAATACTTACTTTCTGATACTTTTTCTTTCATTTCATTTTCATTCCCTTGGTTGCTTTTCTGCTGTCTTCAATGCCCTTAATATGTTTTTGTGTGGGGCCGGCCCGGTGGCGCACTCGGTAGAGTGCGGCGCTTGGGAGCGCGGTGGCACTCCCGCCGAGGGTTCGGATCCCATATAGAGACCAGTCCGCTCACTGGTTGAGCGCGGTGCGAGTGCGACACCAAGGGTTGCGATCTTGTTGCCGGTCGCGGTACGGGCGCGACATTGAGGGTTGCGATCCCGTTACCGGTCACAAAAAAAGA